CCCCCCCCCCCCCATAGCTTAGCAAAGCGCACCTGCTCCATGAACTCGAACACAGCCGGTGTGGCGATGGTGGCTGGCGCCTCCTCGATGATCTTCTGATGCCGCCGCTGGATGGAGCAGTCCCGCCCGAACAGTGACACGGCATTCCCGTACTGGTCAGCCAGGACCTGGACCTCCAGGTGCCGGGCGTGCCGGGCCAGCTTCATGAGAAAGACAGGCGAGCCTGGGACCTCACTCTGCACCTGTGAGTAGCAAAGCCGCTCAGTCTCCGAGCTGCGGGGGCTTCCGAAGTTCTCAGAAGACAGCATCAAACACAGCCTCTCCGTGGATTGCTTATTTTCGACTTTTTTACCTCTCTCAAAGACATGACATTCTCTGGTTTTTAAGTAAAACATTGTGCAAAGGGCAAAATGTCCCCACAGTCATATTTCTTAAAGATGATGCACTAAGAGGGGCAGCCACGCTCAGTCTGCCGCCCGCAGCCAGGTGCCAGGAGGGGTCAGTCTCACACTGTGCCACCGTCCGATTCATCCATGAGCTCGGATTTCCCACACTACAACTTCAGGGAGCCTAATGTTGGATCCCAGAATCTGCCTCTCAACATATATACACATATGTATATATATGTAAACATGTGTATATGCGTGTGTATATATTTATGTATATGTATATATATGTATGTTATATCCAGATAGGGAAGGAGGGAGGGGTTGAAGGGAGGGCAGGGGAATGGGGAAAAAAAAATAAGAACCAAGATAGATTATGTAAAGGTATAAATTTCCAACAACAAATGTCATATTGTATACATTAAACATACCAATACAATTAACTTTAAAAAATAAATAAGATAGGGCTGGGGATTTAGCTTAGTGGTTCTGCTGCCTGCCTCTTAAGCGCAAGGTCGCTGAGTTCTATCCCCGGCACCAAAAAAATAAATTAAATAAATAAATAAAGTCATTAGGGATGAAAAAACAATATCCAAGACAAGATCCATGCCTCTGAAAAGCTTCTTGCAGTCTCTTAGGATTTTAAACTTCTATTTGTTGTCAAATTAGTCAGGTGTTCAAGTGATTTATTATCTGCACAAAATACTAAACATTCTACATGACCAACAGTACATATGGAGACTAGTAACAGCAGGTAACAACTCACTGGAGGGGAAATAGATTTGGCCAGAAAAGATTCATGGTTGATTGACTCACAGTTATTTAAACATTTTTTACTTTTCCAGTTTTTAAATGGGACCTAATTTTCAAAGCTGAAAGTTAGTCTATAAAATATTTCATGTGGTATTCTTCAAAGATCTTTTTGGAGTAAAAAAACAGAAAATTGAATTTTATTAAACAGCTATACATCTAATAGTTTTTAGTGTTTGTACAGTATGTGATTATCATTAAAATAAATAACATTCAAAAAAGATAATGCACTGACTGCAGTTACTGTTTATGACCTACCATTTTAAATATTTTAATATAGAAGAAAAAGTGGTTTAGACTCTACAAAATATACATAGGAATAAGGGCTAGGAAAAAAACCCTAGAAATATTAAAATAGTTTGCTTTAAGAATGGGAAGGTGGTCAGTATGATTTTATTTAAACAAAGACAAGAACACACAAAGTTTACTACATGCCCAAGCATGGGAATATTAGATACCAGGATAACCTTTCTAAAATAATATTATTAAAAAGGAAAACATGAGCTTTGCATGATGGTACTATAATCTCAGCATTCTAGGAGCCCAGCCTGAGTAACTTAGTGACTTATCAAGAACCGATCTCAAAATATTTTTAAAAAACTGAAAAACAAAAACAAAAAACTGGAGAAGTAGCTCTATGCAAAGGCCCTCGTGTTTTTTTTTTTTTTTTTTTTTTGGAGACAGGTTCTCACTGTGTAGTTCAAGCTGGGATAGAGCTCACTATATAGCCTAGGCTGGCCTTGAACTCATGCCAAAGGCCTAGATTTAATCTATATTACTGAAAGAAAAGGGAAGGGGAGGGGAGGGGAGGGAAAAAAGAAAAAAAAGAAAGGAAGGAAGGAGAAAGAGAGATAGACAGACAAAGGAAGCAAGCTAGCTAACTACCCACAGCTATAAACAGGTGAATATATAATGTACAGTGTGCTCCTACAATTAAAATTGATCATCTAAAAACACTAAAAATACCGAGACTCCAACAGTACCCACCCCTTGACATGTGAATAGTCACAAACAGGTATGTGGACCCTTTACCATCTACGAAATCCTTTAAAGATGCAGTGATTCACAGAATCAAACCATCTATAATAGTGGCATAAAAATCAACACAAACCATGGTCTTCTTTAGCAATGTAAGTACATATTTGCTTCAAAATTCAACATAGGATGTAGCTCAGCAGTAGAGACCTTGCCTAGCCTATGTGAGGTCATGCTCGGGTTCAGTCCACAGCACCACAAAATAACAACAATAAAACAAAAAAAAATCAGAAAATATAAACACAGTTATAGACCCATCTCTTACAAATATCTTCTCCAGGGTTATGGAACTCTGCTAACAGAAATAATCCAGAGGTCAACAACCAAATAAAATAATTCCTAAAGCCATGAAAAACAAGCAAGAACAGCTCACTTGTCGGAAAAGCATGGGGAAATCCTCAGCGCTCTCAGCTTTTCGGATTCCTTTCCCTCCGCCGCCTTCAGAAGCTTTGATCATCAGCGGAAAACCAATTTTTTCTGCTGCCTGGGAGTAAGGACAAACAGGGCTCTTTAGAGTTGACACAGGTGCCAGGACTACTGAGGGAGGAAAAAGTTCTAGCGCGCCAGCCAGTCTTCATTTACCTCCAAGCCTTCATCGACATCTTTCACACAACCCTGGTTATAAACATCTTCTGGGACACTGATTTGTTTCCCCTGCTGCAGTTCCTCCTCCGCCCACTCCACTGTCAGACCTGGAGAGTAACAAAGAAAGCACATGGTCCCCGAGAATGGCAGAAACAATAGCCCAGAAACCAAAGGGTCTCTCCCTGCCTAAGCTGCTCTAGACCGAAAAGCCTCACACCATCTCTTTCATTTCCCACACCATGAATGGGAATTGAGCTGAAGAAATTCACTTAAAATCATGGTCTTGAGGTGCAACCATTTACCAATAAATAACTCCGCTTTCTTTTTGGCAGAGTAGTACTCCATGGTATATGAATAGCACATTTTCTTCATCTGTTCATCTGTTGATGAGCACATGGGCCATTTCCAAGATACAGCTATTATAAATTGTGCTGCTATAAACGTGAGTGTGCATATATCACTGTGGTATGATGCTTTTAACTCTTTCGAGAAAATACCAAGAAAGAGAATAACTGGGTCAAACGGAACTCCTAGTTTCAGTTTTTTGTAGAATTTCCACACTGATTTCCTTGTGTTTGTACCAATTTATACTCCCAACAATGGACAGGGTAGGACAGGGTACCTTTTTCCCCACAGCCATCCCAGCATTTGTTACTGGTTGATTTCTTAATAATAGCCATTCTTTCTGGAGTGAGATAGAATCTCAGTGTAGTTTTGATTTGCCAATGACCAGTGATGTTGAACATTTTTTCATATATTTATTTGCCATTTCTACTTCTTCGTCTGAGAAATGTCTGTTCATTTCAGATGCCCAGTTTTGGATTGTGTCTTTGAATTTGAGGAGGTCTTTTGTTTTGTTTTGTTTTTTAGTTCTTTATATATTCTAGATATTAATCCTTTATCTGAGCAATAGCTGGTAAAATTTTTTTTTCCCAGTCTGTGGGTTGTCTCTTCACTCTGTTGGTGGTTTCTTTTGCTGTGCAAAAGCTTTTTATTTATCTTTTTGTTGAGTTTATCAGTACATTTTAGGTATTCAGTAGTTACATTCATTATTAGGATCTTGTACCTTTACATGACAGGTCTTGGTTCTCATTTTTTCCCCTTGTCCCTGCCCTCCCTTCACCCCCTCCTACCCTCCCCATTTACAAACACTTTATTTCCACTGCAAAAGCTTTTTAATATGTGATCTCAGTTGTTAATTCTTTGTATCATTTCCTTTGTCATCAGGGTTTTGTTCATCAAGTCTTTGCCTACACTTATGTCTTCAAGAGTTTTACCTGTTCTATCTCAGCAGATTATATTTAGGCCTTTGATCCATTTTGATTTTAGTTTAGTAAAAGATATGGGTCTAGGTTCAATCTTCAGAATGTGGACAGCCAGTTTTCCCAGCACCATTTATTAAAGAAGCTATCTTTCTTCCAGTGAAGGTGTTTGGCCCCTTTGTCAAAAATAAGGTAGCTGAGTGTTCTTGGAGTTGTTTGTGCATCTTCTACTCTGTTCCACTAATCATCAGGTCTGGTTTTGTTGACAATATCATGCTATTTTTATTACGGTAACTCTGTAGTAAAACTTCAAATTAGGGATTGTGATGCCCCTGCCTTGTTCTTGTTGCCCAGTATTGCTTTTACTTTTGGGTCTCTTCTTGTTCCATATGAATTTTAGGATTATTTTCTGTAGTTCTGTTTATACGATTGGTATTTTGATTGAGATTGCATTAAATCTGTGTAACACTGTTGGAAGTATGGCCATTTTTACTGTATTGGTTCTGCCCATCCAAGAATAGGGGATATTTTTCCATTTTCTGATATCCTCTTCCACATCCTTCATCAGGGTACTGTAGTTTTCAATGTAAAGGTCTTTCACTTCCTTCATTAGATTGATTCCTAAGTATTTTATTTTTCTTGATGCTGTTGTGAAGGGTGTCATTTTTCAAAATTTCTCTCCCAGTGAGTTTGTTATTCATGTACAGGAACGCTAAGGATTTCTGAGGGTTGACTCTGTATCCTGCTGTGCTACCAAATTTGGTTAACTCTAGGAGTTTTTTGGTGGAGTTTTTGGGGTCTTCTATGTAGAATATAATCTCATCAACAAATAATGATAGGGTCGGGATTTAGCTTAGTGGTGCCGCTGCCTACCTCACAAGCTCAAGGTCCCGAGTTCGATCGCCGGTCCCCACCACACACAACAAAATGATAATTTAACCTCTTCCTTTCCCATCCATATTGCCTTCTCTAGTCTAACTGCACTAATGTTTCCAGAACTATACTGAAAAGGAGTGGTGACAGTGGACATCCTTGTCTTCTTGGTTTTAGAATGAAGGCTTTCAGCTTTTGAGCATTTAGTATGATGCTGGCTGTTGGTTTGTCATAGATGGCTTTTATCAGATTGAGATAAAGATTTTCTATTACATTCTGTAGGGTTTTTATCATGAATAGGCGTCGGACTTCGTCAAATGCTTTTTCTGCATCTAAACTATTGTACTGTTTTCTCTTGTGTGAGAAACCCTAAGAGTAAATAAGGAGCAAAATGGAGGCTAGATATTGGGAAGTAGTAAGAACATATTCAAATGGGAAGAGGAACAAGGAAGGGAAGGCAGGGAAAGTGAAAGAGGAAAAAAATGGAAACATAGCTTCTGTAAATGAGGATGGGAAGAGGACGGAAGGAAGGGAAGGGGAGTGGAAAAAAAGCAATGGTATATTATGTACAGGCACAAATTCCCTATGATGAATGTGATCATTATATATGGCAAATAGGTACTAATAAAAAATTAAATTAAAAAAAGAAATTCAGACTGCTTCTACTGATAGCAACATCTGATCTTAAATACAAAAAACTCCTAATTCTCCCCCAGGGAGTCATTTATATAGGACTCACGTGAGGATTCCAAAACACGTAAAGGCTTAACAAAGAAAATAAATTTTCCAAACTGGAAAAATTTTCAACCTTCAGAAGAATATATCAAGCTTTCTAGAGGACTCCTGAGACATTTTCCTGTCTAGATTTTAATTTGTTCTAGAAATTCCACTTTCAGGAATTTATTCTAAGATGGTAATGAAGCACATACAGATTTAACAGAAAAGATTACCAAAGCTCCATTCCTCAGGTTATTTTCAAAACTAGAAAACAAATCAGGAAAAAACCTAAATTGTATAACTGTGGAGGATTATTAAGTAAATTATAATACATCCATGTATAATCTATGCAGGCATTTTAAATGATGTAAAGTACATTTACTGACCTAGAAAGATATTCAACCATGGCGGGGGGGGGATCACAACCTAGGAAATATCAGATCTGATTTTTTTTTTTTTAAAGGCTATGCCTGCAAAAAAGGCTGAAAAAATGGCAATTACACTGAAATAAATATTCAACACATCCAGGTGTGGTGACACACATTGACACTCTCAGCTAATCGGGAAGCTCAGGCAGATGGATCCCAAGTTCAAGACCAGCCTGTCAACTCAGCAAGACTCTATCTCATGATAAAAATTTAAAAGCCTGGGGGTGTAGTTCAATGGTAGAGCGCTTGCCTAGCATGTGCAAGGCCTTGGGTTCAATTTCTAATTCTGCAAAAGAAAGAAAAGAAATGCTCAACATTGGATCAGAGGATTATGATGATTTTTTTTTTTTTTTCAGTACTAGGGACAGGGATAGAACTTGGGTCCTTGCACTTGCAAGGCAGGCAGCAGAACCACTGTGCTAAATCCCCAGCCCTATGATGATTTCTATTTCTGTGTGTGTGTGTGTGTGTGTCCTATCTAAGTTGTCAACAATGGAACTGTACTGCTTAGGTAATAACATTTTTAAACAAAATAATTATCAAAGCCTAGTCTGATCATTCCAACCACCTACTTCAGTGAGATTGGGCTAGAAGTTTCCCCCAGGTGAAGCTGAGGATCCCTTACCACTTCCGCTCCAGGGCAGGGTGGGAATGTCCAGGGTCTGAGCCACAATGGTGGAGGCGATCTTATCTCCCAAGGCCCACATGGCCTCACCGGGGGGTCCTGGGGAATAGGGCAAGAAAAAGAGCAGAACCCAGTCAACCACAAAGACCTGTGAGGCTGAGTGCCAAGCAAGTGCACGGTGGAAGGGCCAAGTGTGTGCAAGATGAAAAAGTATTCAGCACCAGCTCTCCAGGAACTTGACCTCTCATCAGGGAGGAAAAGAATCTGTTAATCTGCTGTCACATGGGTCACCTTTTTACACCTAAATTGTAAGCCTGCTCCAAGTTACAACTGACATGTGGGGCATATGAAAAATTCACCTTGAAGGGATGCCAAAAGCTGGACTAAGGGGGCAAGCTAGCACCCCAAAAAGCTGGACCAAACTTGGGTCTCTAAAGAGTCAGACATAGGAAATACCTTCTTCTTTGTGGGCCCAATGATTTCTGTCCTAATCACTCAACTTTTCCAGGACAGCTGGCTCTCAGTTCCACCTGAATTCAGTATTTGAGGAGTCATCCATCACAGATATGTATATTTTTAAAATTGTATCTGTACTGAACATGTATAGCCTGTTTTGTCATTATCCATAATACAGTGCATATAGCATTTATATCATATTAGGTATTACAAACAGTAAAGAGATAACTTTAAGTGCATAGAAGGGGTGGGGGAAAGAGCTCAGCTGTCTAGCATAGGAAGGCCCTGAGTTCAATTCTGGCACTGCAAAAAAAAAAATTTTTTTTTTCAAGTACACAGGTTATAGGCAAATATTGTGTCATCTTACTTAAGAGGCTTGAGTATTTGTGGATTTGGGTATCTATGAGAAGGCATGCAACCAGTTCCCCAAGGTTATCAAGAGATGTGTGCACATATACAGAGTAAACACATAAAGTATACAAATAATAGTGTTGAAACCAGCCAGGCACAGTGGTGCACAGTTACAATCCCTTAACTCTGGGAAAGCTGAGCCATAATTCAAGCAATTTAGCAAGATCCTGTCTGAATGAATGAATGAATGAGCTCCAAGGATGTAGCTGAATGCAAAGGGCCTGGGTTCAATCCCCAGTACCACACACACACACACACACACACACACACACACACACACACAAAACGTCCTAAAATCAATAAATGCCATGAGAGAGTAAGTAACATTTTACCAAATACGTGCTACAAATAAGAGACTCTGGTCCCAAGGAATTAAGAGCAATCTAAAGCCTGAGAGCTACCCAGACCAAAAAGCCACTCTATCAGAAATGGGACCCCAAACTTAATCAGAAATCTGAACTTGGCTGATCCCTCAGATCCAACAGAAACACTAGCCAGGGGCTCTGCTGGACCCAGAGTGAGCCCTCTGTGGTAACCATGGTAACTAACAGTTATTCCTGTGGCCTGGCCAACTTCCCCTTCGCCCCACCCATTACCCTGATTCATCCACTACCCACAACGAAAGGTGACGCGGGAAAGCAAATTGACCCCAGATTTCCAAGGCAACACCAGAAAGAGACTCTGCCCCAGGTGAGCATCCACCAATGCCCCAATCCACACACACGTGACAGAGGAACGCACTGTACCTAAGAATGCAATCCTGTGCTTGCACAGCAGCTCTGGAAGCTTGGGGTTTTCTGAAGCATGGCCCCAGCCAGCCCACACTGCCTGCAAACACAGAAAATGGGGGAACAAAGATCCGCCATGAACCCACCTCCCACGACCCCAAAGGCTCTGCTGTGTTAGTCTATTCTGAACTCTGGAAATCTTTCAGAGCTCGGGGTGCATCACCCCAGCGTGGGCACATGCGGGGACCCTGACCCAGTTACCTGCACAGGTATTCTCTTGGCGATATCTACAATCAGCTCCACATTGGCGTAGTTGTTGTTGTTGGGCCCTCCTGGGACGGGGACGTACTGATCTGCCATCTTAATGTACTCTGGAATTCAACAGGAGGGGAAAGGGAAGAAGAGTACTGACAGACGGAAGTCAACTGCAGACACGTTCCAGCCGTGTGAACTGTGAAGATTCCATGGCAATGGACAAACCTGTGAAAATCTGACGATGGCTGACAATGATTTTAAACATGTGAAAATGCATGCTCTGGACGAGGAAACAAAAGAAAAAGGAAGCAGTCTGGCAGGATGGTGAGATCAGAGGTGAGTTTTTAAAATTCCTATTTAAAGTACTTAAAGTTTATCTTACTGTTGTGTGACCATTAAACAACACAACAAGCTGGGTACAGTGACACAGGCCTATAATCCCAGCTACTTCAGAGTCTGACGCAGGAAGATCACGAGTTTGAGGCCAGCCTGGGCAGCTCAGGGAGAAACTGTCTCAAAAAATAAACAAAAGCTAGGGATGTAGCTCAGTGGCAGAGCACTTGCCTAGCACATGTGAGGCTCTGGGTCAATGCTTAGTACCAAAACAAAAACAATTTTTTTTTAACTTGGGGTAAAAAAATGCATAACAAAATTTAGTAGTTGTACGTATATGCCTATCATTGTGAAATAGACCTCCAGGACTTTTTCTTCTTAGAAATGTGGGATTCCATACTCATGAACAACTCCCCTTTTCCTTCCCTGAATTCATCGGTACCCACAGTTCTATAATCTGTCCCTATGAATCTGATTATTTTTGTTACCTTTTTTCATTTTGTTTTTGCAAGACAGTCTCACTGTGTATCTCGGGCTGGCCTTGAATTCACCGTGTAGTTACGACTTCCCTTGAAGCCGTGACAATCTTCCTGCCTCAGCCCCGATTGTGGGATCACAGGCATGTACTACCAGGCCCAGTTCTAGGTAGTCCTATGAGTGCAATCACAGGGTGCTGGTATTCTTGTAAGTGGTTTATTTCACTTTAGAATAATGCAATTTATGCTGCAGCTTCTGTCAGGATTCCTTCCTTTTAAAAAATCGTTCATACATGTGTGTAATACATTTTGATTATATCCATCCCCCCTTTACCTCCCTTACACCCCTCCTCTCTGTTCCCTTCCTCTGTCAATTAATAGTCTCCCTTCTATTTTCATGTCTTGTGGATTCCACATATCAGGGAGAACATGTGACACTTATGTTACTATATAAGGCTTACTTTGCCTAACATGATCATCTTTAGTTCCATCCATTTTCCTGAAATCACAAAATTTCACTCTTCTTTATCGCTAAGTAATACTCTACTGGTTGCAGATACCACATTTCCTTTACCTATTCATTTGTTGATGGGCGCCTAGACTGGTTCCATACTGTGGTTATTTTATATTGCACTGCAATAAACAGGGCTAGGCAGGTATCCCTACAGGATGCTGGCTTTAACTCCTTTCAGTATATGCCAAGGAATGGTGTAGCCACATCAAAAAATAGCTCTATTTTTAGTTTTGAGAAATTTCCACACAGGCTTCTATAGTGGCTGTAGTAATTTCCATTTCTGCTGGCTTTGGAGAAGGACTCCCCCAGCCCCTAATGCATCCTCCCCAGCATTAGCCATTTTTGTTTTTGTATCTCGATAACAGACATTCTGACTAGGGTAGGGTGCGATCTCAAGGTAATGTGGATTTGCATCTCCCTGATGGCCAAAGATGTTGAACATTTTCTCATGTACTTATTGGCCATTTGGACTTATTCATTTGAGGAGTGTCTATTAAATTCATTGCCTATTTACTGATGGGGGAGTTAGTGTTTTTCAAGTTCTTTTATATTCTAGATATTAATCCTCTGTCAGAAGAGTAGTTGGTAAAGATTTTCCTATTCTATTGGTTGTCTCTTTATTCTGCTGGTTGTTTCCCTTGGAATGCAGAAACTTATTTGATGGAGTTTCATTTGTTGATTTTTGCTATTATTTCCTGTGCTAATGGAATGCTATTCAGAAAGTCTTTGCCTGTGGCCTATGGCTTCAAGTGTTTCCCTTATGTTAGCTTCCAACAGTTTCAAAGTTTCTGATTTTATATCTAGGTTTCTGATCTCATATGAACTGATTTTTGTAATGATGAGAGATCTTCTTCATATGGATATCCAGTTTTTCCAGCACCATTTGTCAAAAAGGCTGTCTTGGGCCGAGGATTTAGCTCAGTGGTTCTGCTGCCTGCCTCACAAGCACAAGGAC